AGCAGCAGCAGCAGCAGCAGCAGGAGCCGCAGCAGTAGTAGGTTAGTTGCTGTGGTGGTGGTGGTGGTGGTGGTGGTAGTGGTGGTATACACCAGATGTCGCACATGACACGAATCCGAAGATCAAGCCGGCAGGGGCTGGATCCGATCGTGGAGTGGGCGCCCTTCGCGCCTTCATTCCCGCTGGGCGAGCCCCCAGAAGATCTGCAAAGCCGCCGCGCTGCGCTTAGAGTTAAATGCCGGGGTTCCAGATCTCCAGAGACCATACTTTAGACTGTAATGATACATGTGACATCCGGCAGAATCTACCTCAAAAGCAGGCCACGAGTAACTGTTCCAAGCATGGCTCCAACACTTGGATTCCGATGCGTGCTTCATACACGCGAAGCTGGAGCAGAACATAGGAGAATCCGACAAGTGGGCGGCATATTGGGCACGTATCATTAAGTACAGCCTCGTGCGAACAAGGCTTGCCCGGCCCTGCTTTTTTCTAAGTGCTGAGGGCTCGGCGCAATCTTCGGAGCCTGCGTGCGAAATTAATCCGTGTTGATTTGTCAGACTTGTATCAAGGCCTTCAAGCTGAATAATATAGAGGCCAACAACATTAATTACACGCATGATTGTGGGGTTCCATATTATATTTTGGGTTTCATTATCCCCCCCCCAAGCCCTATTTTACTGGTTTCGGCCCCTACATAAGGGGTTCGGCAGGTTCCTGTTCGCGAAGCTCCAAACTCCGACTCCCCTATAGACCCCCAAACCCTAAACCCTATGACACCCTATAAAAGCCTGTAAAACCCCAAAGCTTAAACCCTAGAAACCCTCCCTAAAAGCCTCCCAGGTTTGGCAGACACGCCTTTCGCCCAAATACCCGAGGGCGCCGTTGCCGGGCTCGCAAGCTATCCTTCCTGGCTGGGTTCATGGGTTTCTGATGGTACCAGTTTATAGTGCAAAAGGGACTACAAAGGGGGTTGGAGAAGTTTTAATGTATGTATATATACACATAACTATGGATAGGTATATACATTCACATGCATACAAAAACAAGCACATGACTGTACGATAACATAATACCACACAGTGCAGACAGCACCAACCAAGACTACTCCAGTACCATGCATTGGACCATGCATGCATGCATACATACATA